CATCGAATGGGACCGTCAATAAAACTTCCCCTGTCCCAGAACTGCATACAGAGGGACTCCTACATTAACAAGGAAACCTCTCAATCATGGACGGGTTAACTTCATGCACTAAAGTATCCATGAAGATTACAATACACATCCAAACCTCTCCACGGTAAATTTTGCAAAGAATTTCCAATATCAAACTTAAAGTGCTATCTTCTAGCTGCACATTAGTAAAAGTTGTATAAGTAAACCATGATTGACTATCTCACTTGTCATCAGCTACTAAACAATTACACAACCAATACCTGATTATTGATTTCGTACGATGCAATAAATGCAGAAATGAAAGTTCTCAAGACACTTCGATAGCCTGCTACTGGTCCCTGCATAAGGGAAATTCATACAAGTAAGAATAGTGTAAATGTGAGAAAGAAAACTTAAACATACAGTTATTGAACTAGAAATGGTATCGAGATGCCACCAAAATACACATCCAACGAAAATAATTCTTAAAAAGAAACATAAGCAAAGTCTTTGGAGAGAAAAGGGACAGAGCAGATGAGCAATCTGGTCACAGTATGCACTCACAGGACAAGAACTCAGAAACTTACATCGAAATTTTTCAGTATATCATTTAAAAGAATTTCAAGAAAATACTCCAATGATGCAGCTCCAAAAGCTTGACGAACATATCCCACGTCATCAATATCCTAAAATCAAATAAAAGATATCAGAGTCAAGATAATCATATGAATACATATTGATCATGGTAAACAATTAAAGGGCATGCCTTTAGCACATTATCGTTCTCATTCCCAGGAAGTGATGCAATCAGTCGAAGAAACACTGCCCAAGTAAGGAATAGTGAGCCTGCTTCTTTCATTGCTAAAGAACTGAAACTTGACACTAGCGCATCCATCTCTTGAATATCGGTCAATGAGAAGACAAATGTACCCCGCCTGAGTAGCAAAAGGAATTCCACTTGATCAAGTAAATAGACCAGAAATAACGCAGAACCTACACCAGAGACACACTTCACTAATAGAACCATCTAGAAAATGTACGCAAAAATCCCATTACAACAAAACGTAACAAAATCTGTGCTAGCAAAAAGATAGACTTGTCAAGGCACTAAAATGCTTGTAGATTCATTTTAAACCAATGGTGTTGTGTTTCAGATTAAATCCAGAGCTAGACATTCCCACCGTCTTTTACAGATTAAACATTTAAAAAAAACCAACTTCCACTGTGGAAAACCTATCATTGAAGAGATTTAGAACCATGCAGTAGGCATTAACCTCAAAGGCGTCCCGTCATGAACCATTTGAAGAACACTTTCCAAGTCAAGGGTTTCTATGAGTATTAGAAGCAGCTGAACTTTGGCATGGTGAGAAGAATGCACTGCTTCAGCTGACACAGCCAGCTTTTCGAAGTTATAAGACCCAGATAAGGTATCCTGTAGCAGAGTTTCACTGACTGAGGGAAATTATAGAATATTTGATTATAAGAAATCGTGCTATACAAGAACCATAACAAACCTTAAAGAGCGTGCACAACTTCCTCCATCTTTCACCATTACACGTGCAGAAAGACTCATAATACATAAGGAACAAGATGTCCAAAATCAGATTGACTTCTGTTAGTGTCTCCTCAGCCCACAGAGTGAAGAGATCAACATCCTAGGGAAGACCAGACATAATGCACGTGAATTATCAACAAGAAAAAGTGTCATAAAACAGTTCTTGCCTTGTCAAGACAGTTAAAAAACTGGACACGTGTCCAAAAATGGGTAACAAGTAATGAAGTTGCAAAAGAGTGCGTAAGAAACCATCTGCTCAGGGTGACTGGAAGATAGAAGTGTGTCCAAGGCTGATAAAGATTTACTCTCCAATCCAATAGAAATCAATTCAACTGCCTCTTCCCTAATAACGTTACTTTCCCCAGAGCTAGCTTTGATGCATACTGCACAAAAGGAGTATGCAAAAAGTTAGTGAGAGAGCATGCAAATTTCCAATGTAGCATGATATTAGCACCGCAATGCAATAAGCTTAATGCACCCCGATGTGGTTCTGTAAACCCATGTCATCCAAAGTTTGCTATATGACCAAGACAGCCAAGAATTAGAGTCAAACAGGGAATCAGAACAAGTCATAACATACAGGCATGTGTCAGGATCCTCCTTGTGCATTTCAGCAAGCACTGCCTCTCAATATAATACTGAAGCAATATCTGCATATTAAAAGCGATGCTTGTGATTAACAAGTGCAAGATGTTAAAAAAGTAGAGTGAACGAGAATATAGTGTCAAGAATTCATACTTTAGTAGCTTTAGTCCAACAAGCCTCTGCTCTCCATATCTAATACCTAGAACCCTAGTCCATTAACTATATCCCCTGTTTTCTCATAACAACATTGTTGCAACTAGCTGATTTTTCATCAAGCAACTCAGCCAAACACCAGGCAACCTAGCTAGGCAAACACATGCAAGAAGTTCGCATCGTAGCCATCTAACAAGAGAGACTCAAAGCAAGGAAAAAAAAGAAAGAAAACGGTGAACTATATGCGCATATTTGTTTTACGGGGATAAGGAAGGGTCAGAGTACAAGTAGATTCTTGGTAACTGAACCGCACTAAAAATCGACCAGTAGTACATATTTAAAAAGGAAAAGGACATCAGAAGCAATGCTCTGGGGGTAAGGGATGCATCATCATTGGCACTAGCACATGAAAAAATCTCATCCACCATGTTCGTCCAAGGTCGATAGGCTAAAGAATGAAAACTCAAACTGGATCAATTTTATAGGATCAAGAACTGTAAAGTAGAAAAATTTCTACTGATTCAAAAGCCGGCGAACGCCAAATAGAGAAAGGGATGTCTATACAGAAGGAGAAACATCCAAAAGCCTCTCACCGCGTGCGGAAACTCTTGAACCCACAAATCATCAGCAGCATTTGGGCGCTCCATCGACCTCTCGACAAGAATGTAGGATTGCACCTCATCCAAACCCTACAGCGGGAAAGCACAAACTCCATAACGCATCAACCGAGAAAAAGATTTTTGCACCATCCCGCCCAATTCTAAAACCTAAACCAACACTCGAACCGAAAAACATAAACAAGGGCCAGATAACTCAATCTGAGGAATGCCGAGAATCGGCTCGGCCATCGGGCTCACCAGGAAGGAACTGACGGCCAAAGCCTTGTCCCTCGATTCGGGCTTCACAGTCAGCTCGTGGGGACCGATCTTAAGCTGCTGCTGCGAGGATGCCAGAGCCTCCTTCGATTTCGCGTTCGGCGGCCGAAACAGCAACACGGTGCCCAGGAACCAACCGCGGTTCTCCTCCAGCTTCTTCACCTGAGCGAAAGCGAACAAAACCCGGAGCCTCATCGCACGCCAATATCCTGAAAAAGCAACAAGTGCCCACGAGAGGAGGAGGAGCGACTTACGAGAGGGGGAGGAAGGTCAGCGGAGAGGGGGGCGTCCTCGAGCTCGGCGAGGAGGGAGGAGAAGGGGTCCCACCAGAGGGAGGCGTCGACGGACTTGGCGGTCGCCATTGGAAGCGAAGAAGAAGAGATGGTGCCGACTGCTGGATCACATGAAGAGGGAGGGGAGACGGGGAGAGGGAGATTGAAAAGGTTTTGATTTTGGCGCTTCAGTGTGCTTGCAACTGATGAAGAATGTTGCAGAAGAAGAAGAAGAAGAGGAGGACGACGACGACGAAGAGGAGGGAGAGTGCCCGCTCAAGATTCCGACTGCCGGAGAGGTTTAAGATGTGGGTGTTTTTGAAAAATTGGACCAAAGGCTTGGGCTTTTTCTGCTCTTGGTCTGGCGACTTTGGGCTTGAACTTCAGAAGTCAGCTTCCGTTTTAGAGAGTCTCATAGCTTGGTACATGGCTAACTTCAGCTGTCAGGACTTGGTTCTGTGCTAATGTGTTGTTGGTGAGTGGCATCGCTTAGGAAAATCTGTGAACGGAAAACACTTTCGTCATCAACAGCGATTTATGCCCTTACATTTTCGTTGATGACGAGAATATGCTTTTCATCAATTCATTTCCACGAAGCACAAGCATTCAATCTCAAAGCTCAATTTCTCTATTACTGCAGTGTCGGCCGTTCAAATGAATTATACGCGACTTAAATTATGATGATTTGAATGGTAAACATGACACTTTCTCGACAGGCCAAAACGTCATTCAAAGTGCTTATTCTGGAGAGCATGGACCGATCGAGTGCCACTACCTCCTTTATTTCGTGAAACGAATTTGTAGATATTCGTGTCCATGAGATCTTGACATTTCAGTTCTCAACCATGCAGTAGCAGTTACAGCGAGCATCCCACATTGATTCAACTGGCTCTTTTTTATCGAGCTCGCGCATGATTCTTTATCGATTTTTTGCCGAAGAAACCTCGCCAAACTTTTTCAGCCACTTTTAGTCAGTAAAGAATGCCTTTCTTTCTTTCTTTTCTTTGGCCTCAACTTCAAGTCTTAAATGCACTCGAGAGAAAACTCTGTACCTTACCTTTATTAGCCTGCGATTCTCCTTTGTAACCTGATGCTATTGCTAAGCAATACTGCCAACCAACTTGGGAGCTAGGCGAACTGATTTAGTATGATGTGCCCGACGAGGGGATTACAGGCTATTGATGATTCTCTGGACTGATTCATGCTAGTAAATCTATTTGACTTGTGCTTCTAGCCCAGTATGCTTGATGAACTCAAGGGAATATCACTCCATCATATGATGGTGAAGAGCCAAAAGCTATTGCAACAGGCCATTTGGAAGATCATAACAGAGTTGTTGATAAGCTTGTAGAGACCATAGGTGATTTGAGTTACTCAGAGAAAAATGGAGAAATGGATGGCTGATATGTTAGAGCTCTTAAAATTGTTTTACATTAGAGACATGGTGTTGAATCTCATCAATCATGGTCGTAGAATGAAGGTAACACTTCTCTTGAGGCATAATTGCTTCACAATACAAGGTTCGAAAGATAAGGCACTACAAATGCAATAAGTCACACACACAGACAACTCATTATTGGCATAAATAAGTAACAACAGTACACTGGTTTTTGCTATTCACTCATCCTCTCATCTCATGATTCTCCAACAACACAACTAACAGTGCTCCTATTATTAAGGCATCATTGCAGGAGCGAAAACTCTCAAATCGGCCTTCATTTCATCGAACGAAGTTCCTCCTCGTACACCTGAGGATCATGTTTCAACACTCTTTTAAGGATGCGAAACAAAGGGAGGCAACTGTTTAAAATCGGGTTGCTTGGGAGGGATCTTGGGGAACGGCTTTTTATAGAATGGAGGAGGGGGCTTGACGAACGGGAAAGGCGGTGGCAGCGGCTTCTTGAAAACAGGGATGGGAGGTGGGAGAGGCTTCTTGAATATCGGTATCGGCGGAGGAAGTGGTTTCTTGAATTTAGGGACAAATGGAAGAATTGGCTTCTTGTACACTGGTATTGGTGGCAGAAGGGGCTTCTTGTATTTCGGTATCAGTGGTGGAAGCGGTTTCTTATATATCGGTACAAGTGGAGGGAGAGGCTTCTTATATATAGGAGGGAAGACCTTCGGCGGGAGAGGAGGAAGCTTCTTTGGAGGGAATAGTGGATGACCGAAACCCTTCACAGGTGGTTTTAACTTAGGCAATGGGTGCTTGAAGTGAGGCAACAAGAAGGCAGAAGCGCACGTTACTGGGGAAAACTTTAGCTTATCGGCCAACCCGTAAGTATGTTTTCCATGAGTAATGGACTTGAAAACTATCTTGGAGGACTTGGGACCGCCATAAGAGGGACACGGTGTCTCCGCTGCACTGTGAAGCTGTGCATAGCATTCTTCTTTTGACTTCCCGTCTACTAAGATCTCAGGAGGAAGCAGTACTTTGAACTTCCCTTCTTCATTCAGTTCTCCTACTCCTCTTCTCTTGTATTCTCCTTTGGGCGTGAGGCAATCGATTGACACGCGAATCCCTGAAATAAGAAAATATCATTAAATTGGTCGTCTCATTAGCTTCGAATACCTCATTATGAGTTTATGATGGATCTGCAGTGAGATAAAGGTATCTGTTTTTGTGTTGCCTGAGGGCATGTGTTTCTGTCTGCACATCCTGCATGCTCAATGTTCTTACATTGCATGCATTTGCAAAAACAAAAATATTTGGCATCTACGGTTAAGAAAGCAAGGCAAGCGACGATGCCTATCATAGGACTAACTTCACTGAGATTCCAGAAATTTTTGTCGCTTGGTTTACTTTCTTAACCATATGCAGATGGCTCTGTCCAAATAAGAATAAATTAGATTCAATCAAAGAAGACATGAACATGATCGTACACAGATGATACCTAATCATGCTCTCCTCCCTAAGATTGTTCGTAATCCCGTTCTAGAACATGAAAGTACGGTACATTGTATGACATGCAGACATCAACTTTAGAGTATGTTTTAATGGAAGAAAATATATCTCGGAAACAGGTGATTCGGTCATGAGCACTGTAGTGGGACACTGGGTGATTTTCTTGTTGCAGGGGCAGTTGAAAGATAGCTCAAACCAAAATGTAAGCTACACATGATCGAATAATTTGCTTGCGAGAAGGTTCAAACAATTAGAAACTTGCATCCTACTTCGTTTTCGTTTGATTCGGCGGGCGAAATGCACCCAAACGATTCATCTCAAGCTCATCAGGTAAACTAGACACTTTGGCGCAAGGCCAAAATTACCGCCATTGGATGTGTAACATGCAAAATGCTTATAGTGACAGGACCAATTGACGTACCTGAAAAGGCTTGCTTGGCATCAATGTGATTCCGTTCACAATCTGCACATTCTCCTATGCCAAGAACCTCAACGTTGTCCTCATCTCCCTGGCAGAACCTCGCAGCAAACAGCAAGGACACCAAGCAGCACAGAAGCGCTGGACAAATCCTCATGGGGACTTAACGGTGGAGTGGCGGAGAAAATTCTAGTTAAGGATGACTGAACTAGCTCCATCGGACCGCATTATATAATGATCCTGAGAGGCTTAGAGTAGATTGCAAAAGCCTCACACCGTGTCACCGTTATTCGCCTCACATGAGGTTAGGGAACCCTTCGACATGTTCCTCCCGAGTGAATAGGACAGTAATGTGCACATACCATTTTCCTTGCTTGCACCAAAGCCACCATAATCTTTATTGAGTAAGCTCCCCAACTGCCCAAGAAAAAGGCTCTTCCTTTTTCTGTTGAACCAGCTCATACACAAGACAGCTCACTTGCTGTCATTAATAGTCTGCTTTTTCTGGTAGAGATGGGGTTCAGGGAGGTATTGATTTCTCCGCTCTCGCAGAACTTGAGAATGTGTGACTCTGTATTTTCGTACTTTGCTGACCCGACAGCCAACAGCTCTTGGTACCCGACCATTTAAGGCATTTTGAGAGAAACAGATGGGGATCCAACTCCATTCATATGTGAATCCAGTGTATTGTGTCTAACCGATTATCTTGCCAAGTCATACGATTCAATGCCGAACTGCCAAAATGACAGCACATGCCTTTGAGACCAATCACAAGCAGACTACGTGCGGACTAGGTTTCCGCATCCCAGTATGCCATTGGACCGATGGACAGAGGCTCGGTAACCGACCCAAAGGTTCCCATGCGTCGCCGGCATGACTATGTAAGGATCAATAAGTGGAGAAAAATGCCAAAAAAGTCATAAACTTTTTGCATTAGTGCCAATTTAGTCCTAAACCTTTTTTGGTGTCAATTCAGTCCTAAACCTTTTGCATTGATACCAATTTAGTCCTAAACCTTTTTTTGGTGCCAATTAAGTCCTAAACATTTTAAATTGGTGCCAATTCAGGCCTAAACATTTTGTTTTTGTGCCAATTTAGTCCTTCCGGTCAATTTTGATCGGAATTTGCCGACGTGGACGCTTGCCTGCCGGCGGCCGGTCACCGGCGCCGACGTGGACAACTTTAATAATATTTTAATATTTTTTTGAATTTTTATTTTTTTTCCTTTTTTTTTTGGTCCCCCCCTTCCTCTGGCCGGAGGCCAGAGGCCGGCGAGCTCGACCTCGCCGGCCACTGGCGAGGCCGGCGAGCTCGACCTCGCCGGCCCAGCGCGAAGGGCGGCGGCCTCGCCGCGAGCGAGCCTCGCCTTGGTTGAGCGAGGCTCGACCTCGCCAGATCCGGCGAGGTCGGGCCACGCCGTGGCCTCCGACGAGGGCTCGAGCCTCGCCATGGTCGGAGGAGGCCCGACCTCGCAGATCCGGCGAGGTCAAGCCTCGTCCGACCAAGGCGAGGCTCGAGCCCTCGCCGGAGGCCGCGGCGAGGCGAGCCTCGCCATGGTCGCGAGGCCCGACCTTGCCGGATCTCGACCTCACTAGATCCGGCGAGGGCTCGAGCCTCGCCATGGTTGGGCGAGGCCCGACCTCGCCGGATCTGGCGAGGTCGAGCCTCGCCCGACCAAGGCGAGGCTAGCCCTCGCCTGGCGAGGCCGCCGCCGCCCTCGCCAGTGGCCGGCGAGGTCGAGCTCGCCGGCCTCTGACCTCTGGCCGGTCGCCGGACCGGCGACCCGCCAGAGGAAGGAAGGGGGGATAAAAAAAAAGAAAAAAAAGGAAAAAAATAAAAATTCAAAAAATATATTAAAATATTATTAAAGTTGTCCACATCAGCGCCACGTCGGCGCTGATGACCGGCCACCAGCCGGCAGGCGTCCACGTCGGCAAATTCCGGTCAAAATTGACCGGAAGGACTAAATTGGCACAAAAATAAAAGGTTTTGTACTGAATTGGCACCAATTTAAAAGGTTTAGGACTTAATTGGCACCAAAAAAAGGTTTAGGACTAAATTGGCACCAATGCAAAAGGTTTAGGACTGAATTGGCATCAAAAAAAGGTTTAGGACTAAATTGACACTAATGCAAAAAGTTTATGACTTTTTTGGTACTTTTCTCCCAATAAGTGCTTAGGCTCGACGACACTAGACCGAACTAGTCATATGGCACAAAAAGAACACATATTCTTCCCGCATGATGATTATTCTTGTTCGTAGGATGAGTAACATTTTTTTTTTTGAGTAACATGTTTTGGACAATCAGTGTCCATAAACTGGTGCCGACAATAACCTTCCTGATCTTTTTCAGTCGCACACTCGAGAGTCACGAGCCATAAGTGCTACTTTTACTGGAAAACTGTAAGCTATTCGTATCACCTGATCAATATCTCCCCGGCTAGGATGTTATATTGTCCACTGCTTTTCTGGTCTCTGCCGCTGGAATTGAATAGCCGCTTCATGTGATTGTCCTTCTTCAGATTGGTTGGCCAAAGACAAGTTCTTCTAATTTTGGGGCATTGTGAGTGTATATTTCAAAAATTTCGATTCCTTTCGTACTACGATCATCTTTTCTTTTATTACTAGTTAAGTACGGTGCAGTCTCCACCTCACGTGAAAGATGTAGTAAAACAGCATGGGACCACATTACAGAGAAACGTCAAACGATGAACATGACAAAGTTCAGCACGGCGGCGACATTTGTTATCAGGCTGATGCTGTTGAGAGATGTTGAGTCCCCACTCTACCAACCAGAAAGGCTCGCACAAAGGGAATTTAAGAAAGACATTCAAAGCCAGATCTACCAGTGCGTGTCCTAATCGCAACTTTTTTCTTACCAGTCCATCAATGAGCACAGCCAAAGTAGCTGATTATCGCTTAAACCGGAGAACTTTGTCACTCTTCAAGTTGGCTTTCCAGCTTAATTGCTCCTTGCCCTGTCATTAGTAGAAAGTAAACCAGCTGTATTACACTGTCCAGAGAGCGAGACCAACCACCGACCTCAATAGCACTGCCTGGGCCATACTCACAGGATACGAACGTCCAAGTTCATCTGCTATTTCAACTTCTACGGCTCTGCGAGATTGTCATTTATTAAGAAGGAAATTTTACACAGATAAATTCACTGAAGAGCCCTAAAAAGGTACGATTTGTCGAAGATTTTCTCATCCGGAGTCGGGAATAAAACTCTTTTCATTGCCATTACAATACTAGTTATGTGTTGATGCATGTCCGAGTCCAACAAGAAGTTGCACATCATTTACCAATGCTAGCCAATAAAGGTGGTTTATGAGCAACTCCTCCAAGTCGTCTTCACCACCCAACATCAACATTAGGCATCCATTCCCCAGCAGTATTGTTTTCCATATTTACAGGTAAATATGAGTGCCATGCACCAGTCGTCACGCTCACTTTTGCAGATTTCAGTCAGAATTGATCGAATTTTCTTCAGACCACACACTTATCAGCAAAAATACTTGATAGTTGACGATGTAATACATCCTCAAACTGCTAGAGAAACAAATCAGTTGGCTGACAAAATGTGATGACCACGGCCCACTGGACAGTGGCATAAAATTTAAAGACTGATGGGAAGGCAATTAGCGAAACAAGCATGTGACTATGAAAAACTCTTGGTTCAAGAGCAACTGTTTCCTCCCTATTTCAAAAATACAAGTTCCCGGTGAAGAGCCTCTGACTTCAAGAATATCCAATGACAAGAAATGTTAAAAAGTATTCTTCAACATGCTACAACTTCTAAGCAGATCTTTTGTAAATCTAACTCCGAGAACCAGTTCAAACTCCTGCTCTCTCCAATTATCCAAATCCCAATGCCTAGTGCGAGTCTCACTAACCTGTTCTTCTCAAATTATCATGCTTTGTGCATCTGACGTTGCAGAACGCCTATCTACTTCTTCTTCTTTGACTTGCTGGCTTGAGACTGAGTATAAGCAGTTCCCTGCAGAAATTATTACAAGCCATTTCAGAAAACTATATCATGGGTAAGAAGAGTATCTCAACAACAGGAGGAACACATTCATGTGAGGACAAATTTCTCACTGTAAATCACCCCTAAGTATTAATTCATGGCTCATGTGACTGGATAGGTATGAATGCACAATACGTGGCTGGTAGATGAACAACAATTAATAGTCATGTTGTTCTGCATCACATATGCCAGTCATTTTCACAAATAGTCAGAATATAGCTAAATACTTGCATGAGTCTCAGATCCTTTGAGCACTCATTTCCTCAAAAGTTCTGTGTAAATGATTAGCATTTGCTCATTAAACCTATTTAGACCATTCGGCATCATCTGGTACAGCAATAAAATTAAGTCTATAATAAACACGGTGCCAAATGAATCACTCAGTTACTCATCCATCTGCCAATGCACCTATTATGGCTCAAACGTCATTCACATAAAACCTACACAAACTTTCTGGAATAACTTTTCTGCTTTTGCCACATAAAATTGAATCAACATTTCTTCCGTTTTATTTGTAGGTTTAAATATGCGGACATAAAAGTACACATGTTTCCTCGTCTATTAAAGGAGTCCCCGTTTCCTCTCCATTTAACAGATTTTTGTAGTAAGCATGAGACATAGACTTACTCTCTCCATCTCAGTTTCTCAGCCAAATTGTTACATCTGGGCGTGCCCTACTCTAGGAAAATGCTTATTTTCCTTCTCTAGGAAAACTCACTAGCATGGGGATTTGAACAACAGACTCATCCCTCACCCCCGGAACTATTGGGTCGTCGCTGTGGGTAACCGATGGAAACAACAAATGAAAATAATCTAACATCGTGAGACCACCCTTCCATACCATGAAAAACCAAGCCCAAAACCGTTTTACTGCCGATAGACAAAAAGTTTACACAAACTTTTGATGTAAGAGAGCAGGGTAAGGCCTCTTGTCTACATGGTTATAAGGCTATACAACACTAGTGAAGTTCATTCAGAGGGTTTTGAGGGTGAAGTAGAACCAGGGAAACAAGGACCACAGCCTTTTGATCCAAGGAGAAAAAGGAGACTCTAAATTGATATGTAGGGAAGAGAGAGCAAACACTACCACACTATGATTAGACAGATAAGCACACTACTGTATTAAACAAGATGACTAAGCAAATTTGATTTCACTAGGGAGAGTAGACCCACAGCAGAAGAAGGGAAGGGAGGTCTACCACAATCAGGTAGGGAAGATGGTTTGGCAATAGAACAGAACACAATCCAAAGGTAACGGCACTTAAATGGCCATAACGCAACCATCACTATGTTCACACCCAATGACTAGCAGCATTGCTGTATGTGCTATCGAGACATTCCCAGGTTGATATATGCCCAAGACCGTAGCAGTTCTCTCCAGTCAAAATACTAGGACAAGAAAATAGTATCTCCAAACAAGGCAGGGTTCAAGTGTCTCAAACAAAAGACTATTGAAACGGAAGAAAAACTATTTATAGGAAAAGAAAATGCAGCTATATCAACAAAATCATGCAAGACGCACCTGAAGCCATTCATCCATTGAGGCATCAGTTGTCCCAGTTCCCACTTCAACCTTAGGTGCCCTCTTGGTTTTCTAAACGAACAGGAACACAAGGACCAGTTAGACTGTTGGAGTGAGTCAATAAACACAAAGAAACACAAAGACCTTGATGCACATATGGAGATCCAAGGATAATAATATAATAAAAAAAAATTATTCATCACCCTTGGAAAATATAGAAGGGGTAAAAACATACTCAGCATTTCCGTTAACTCACACACCCACAATCACACGTACATGATAGCATAGATAGTATCATCAATGAGTAGATGAAAACAAAATACGTAAAAGTTCTAGATTAAAGAAAGTATATCATAAAGGGACAAGGAGTAGATCAAATTATGAACTCATTGCATTATCCACAAACAAGATATCCTATAAACAGATTGTGATTGTCTATAGACCATATTTGTCTATAGACCATATCTATTGTAAAGGATAGAACATGCTCCAATATCTAGTACCTTTGAGAGTTGCTGTATCCGCCCACGAATCCATAAACCAAGGAGGACAAGAAGGGCAATCCCCAGAGTAACAAGAAAAACAGATTCGACGCTGAGAAAACCGCCAGCTTCAACAACTTCAATTGTTCCATTGTAAAAGGTGTTTTGATATGGTTGCTGGTCTATCTCATAGATGATGGTGCCCACAAGATCAAAATTTCCAGCCTGCAGGGACAAAATAACTGCTTAAGCTCTCCATACATCTAAGTCATAGAATTTTAAGTGCTTGTAGTATTGAAAGAATAAACACACAAGCGAGGAGCACAGCCAAGATTTAACAATTGGATAGTAGAAAATACATATACATAGATATTCCCAGATATCTACCTGCAAGTACTTGCTGACAGCAAAAATATAGGGAAAGGTAGCCTGAGCAGAAGTTGGAACTGAAGCATTGTTGAAACCCTACAATGGAAAGAAACCAATCAATGAATTGTCCGACCATTGAAGCAATTTGAGACAAAGAAGCCAACAGAGAATTTTGCTAGGAAATTTCAAGTGCAGATAAAAAGCAAATAAATAAACCAAAAGAGTATCACAAGCTCCAAAGACAGCATTTTTCTTTTCTCAAATGGCGGATTCCAACATGATCTTAATGTTTCATTCTTGTCTAATGAAAGATACTGAAATCCAAAGAAACGTGCATAAATGCGGATTATTTACATAAAGGATTTAGGTGTGAAACACAAAAGCAATTAACAATTTAGAATAAAAGGAGGAAAAGCAGCATCTGCAGCTTTTCAAAAATTATCAGCAATCAGGATTTTGCTTTTCCTTTTGCAACTAAGCAAGAGTAATTCAGTGATGTGGCACCAAGGAGATTTCAAGTTCATTACAAAACCAGTTAATTAAGCCAACAAGCTCTAAGATAGAATTGCATCGAGACTTGAGCTTAATGTTCAAGGTGAAAATCCACAATTCCCAATTGTACAAAATGACTCTGATTTTCACATCAATACGTTTCAAGAGTTATTGAGCAACCAACCAGCAAGCAACCGGGGATGAAGAGTAAGAAATCAACAACAAAAAAAGGGTTTCGCAATAACGAAACTCTCTCTTTCTACTTTTTCAGTCATTGGCGGCACAAACTTTTATAGTTGTGCACACTGGATTTCAGTAGCAGATAGATGAGGAATCGGTCGACACAGCATCTTGCACTATTTACAAGCACGCAGAAACTTACCTGAGCCGTTAGATTTTGAACCAACATGCGATGATCAAAGGGAAGATGAACACTGGCCTTGATGGCAATCACGTTGACATCTAAATCTCCTGTAATGATTCACAAAAAGAAAGTGAAGTTTAAGAAACGAGCTTACGAAAATAATAATAGGAGAATTATCGTATACAGTAAGACAACCCAAGGCCCCCAACAGAACACGACCTCCAGAGTGATTGCTAGGAGCCAAGAGTGTCCCTTGCATTGTATGATCCACAATGACAGTGCTAATTTGAAACAACTGACACGAGATAAAGCATGTAATAAATCAAGATAATGGATACGATACATCAGAGAAAGAAATCCACTACCGTCATTTTTTAACCCAACAAGCAGTTCAGCCTCTTCTCCTGCTGGTACCACTGCAAGAGGGATTTAATTTAAGATAAGCAATCTCGGTCGTACGAAAAAAAAAAAAAACGTGATTATTCAGAAGATTCTCACGTTTTGCGCTGTTTTTCGGGAAAACACAAACTGTGTTTACACCCGGAGCGGGACTGAAGTTTTCATCTCCAAACTCTTGGACATCTTCACCGACAATTCCAAGTTCACCCCCTTCATCAGCAGCCTCTGCAACATCGACGTCTGCATCCGATTGACACCTGGCAACTATCAAGTAGATGATACATATGATAAGTACAGAAAGTTAAAAAGCTTTTGTCCTGAAAGTTGATATCAATGAGAAACGTGATATCATGCTAATCCTATGACGCAATCGAAGATGAACAATTTGAACAGACATGCATCCAAAAAAAAGAAGTCAAAGCACAGCAAGTCAACAACATCAATTCCATTAGCAACATCAACGCACAAACAGTTAAGCAGAGATTCTAGCGTTCAAACGACATGCAATCGCACAGCGGATTCACCATATCGAGACAATGAAGGCAGATGCCATAAGAGGCAGTGAACAGGAAAAACCATTTCGCCGACAATTCGAAAGCGCTGTTCCTCTAAAAGCTAGGAAATTAGCGAAGCTCATGCACACGCTTCGACACCCCCGTACAGGCCAACGCCGCGAGAATCCACGCACAACAAAACAAACAAAACAAACTCGAAGGCGAAGGCCGCGAGATAAGGATCCGAAAACATGCGCGCGAATTCGATCGAGACGCAAAGCCAAATCCACAGATCACGCCTGCCGCACAACAGATCGAAGGAATCGCATCGCCCGCGTCGCATGCAGAGACCGCCGCGATTCCAAATCGGGAAAAGAAACGGCGAGAACAGAAGGCGAAATTACGAACGACCGGCGGATCTAAGAACAGAGGAGGTGAGGGGGAATCGAGCTAACCGTGGAGGAGAGGGGAAGCGAGGAGGAGGAGGAGGGCGAGGAAGAAAACCCTAAAGTTCGTCATTGCCATCGGAGGCAGCTGCAAAACCAGTCAATGCTCTCTCGCTCTTTCTTTCTCTTTTTTTGGGTCTTTTCGATTTTTCCTGGGTTTTGACCTTCGCGTTTCTATTTATCGACGGGATCGCACGGTGTGTTTTGCTCGGTCTCGACCAACTACGGTTCTCGACCTGGGACATCATCATCGGATCGTCCGCGCCCTTCCGCGCAAACTGGGCTGAGCCTAGTACAGACAGACAACGTTGGACATTGTCGTGGCCCGCCTTCGTCTTTGGCGTTGCACCTGCAATCGGCCCAAACATGATCATGCCTGTGAAAAGTTGGAATTTTTCCCGGACACATTTGATCCCACTGGTCGAAAACGTAGGACCGAGTAAACATCAGGCCGAAAAATTAATCAAATTGATGCCCTTGTTTCACCGAAAATTTCATGTTAAAAGAAATATTTTTCGTGAAAATTATTTTCAAGGAAATTGATTAAATTTCATTTATTTAGTGATTTTATGGAAATTGATATCCTTTTTGCCAAAAGGAAGGTCGTTTTCTATCTATATAAGCTAGTTGTTTTCGATCCATGAAAAACGTTTTCTGTAGATCAATTAGTTTTTCTAGACCCCGAAAAGCACGAAAACAATTTCTTGGAAATAGTTTTCCTTCACGAAATGAATAATTGGATCACATTTTCTTAATAACAATCACTTGTATCAATTACAAAATTGAATCAATAAAAAAAATATTTTCATTGTCAACGAAAATGTTTTAACCATAAATTGTTATGATAACGAAAATATTTTTCATTATCAACGGAAATGTTTATATACAAATTGTTGTCGATAATGAAAATACCTTTCATTAACTAATTATTTTAAACAGTGCAAACTAAGACAGTACATTTTTTCGAAGTACAAAAATCATCTTGGAAGCATCCATAAGATTTTCAGGAAAAACTCTTCGAAACCCGTTTACGCATTTGCCAGTGGGCCGTACTCAATTCGCTTTAGAAGCATCCGTAATTTCAAGTTTTCCTTTTTCACAGCATTCCTCAATTTGTTAAGTAAGTTCGACCAAAAACAAAATCACCATTCAGGCCCCAAAACTTTTTGGGTTTAAAGAATCGCCTGGCAAGCAAAAATTTAAGCCTGCAGAACTGCATTGGAAAGGAAACGGTCTTAACAATGAATCGTGGGGTCCAACTATTTTTTGGCTCGATCCAGTGACCCAAGGAAACGAAAAGAATCACTTAACATTTTTCATACAATCTCCTCTTACAGATGAAATAAGAAAATCGAATAGGCCCAGGCAAGATCTCACAAGAAACTGAGTCAGTCATTGCGTCGCATACACACGGCTTGCAATCTCGCCGTTGGTGTACTAGGCTATGGCTCACGGGACTAGATGCATATCCAATGATTTCCTTTCACAAGGATTAAACATGCTCCTTCCTACATGTGAGAAACGGTAAGGTTGCTTCATTATGGGAAACAAAAAATTAGCAAAGCTAGCGTCATGTTTCTGCCATTTTGGACAACCATGTTAAAGAGACATATTACACAAGACAGAACTGCCAAAGTGGCGGGCTAGGTAGCTCAAACATCAACTCAGGAATTCCAGTGACTAAAATCGAAGGAGTTCGCCAGTGATGTATTTCTGGCTTTCCATCAAAAACATTTGACTCTAACTCATCCCGATATCAATCTATAGTGGCATGAAATTTGAGCCAAATAAGCTAACACTAAGTCCGAGACTGCTTGCCAAACAAATTTGCCACCCCAACATCCATCCACCTTCGTTACATCAATCACCATGAATTGTATACCGTTCCCATTTCTTTGTTGGATCATATATCTGCACAAAGAAAGCACAGCAGCAAAGTCAGATGATAGACTCAACCTTGTTAAGCAGAGAGACAGAGACAGAGAGAGAGAGAGAGGGAGAGGGAGAGGAGGAGTGCCAACCTCCCATCTTGAAGCAGGAAAAATATGCTTGTTCTTTTCATACCAGTGTCTCTCCACAACTTTCCCCGCATGGGACTGCAGACAAATTACACAATATAAAAACCCATTCTCTTCCAAGTGTTGCGCAAAAAAGTGTACAAACTTAACTTGGAGTTACGCATAATACAAGACTGGATTCTTTTCAGCAAATCTCGCTAATGATCCAGATAGACTAATAACACAGTTTTCCCCCAAACAATCAGAGCGTGCGAGTGATTGATGACCACTAATATATAATGATAAATCATGTCATTTGATAAAGAATTAAGGCGTTAAACATTTCAGAGACAAACTTCACATGATGCTGCCAACCTCAAGCTTGCAATTGACGTAACCTAGCCCCTCATTAGTCAAACCCAGAAATAACAATTCACATTAGGGAATTGTGAAAGAACTGAAACAGCTAAAAATGATGCAGCAGATGACATTTAAGGGTGCCAGTCAAATGTTGATAACTTCTCATATTTCGATATCACATCCAAAGAATTAACAATAACCACTGCCAACCATTTTCCTCATGATCCAAACTCCTAGCATGCAATACAACAGATTAATTAAAGAAAGGCAGGGAATGTACCTCATCCTTCTCTATTGTTGCATCAGCGATGGTACGCACATCTTCATGCACATCAAAGTGAAATAGCTGTTTAAGATAAAAAAAAACAAAGGGTGTTATTCGAAACCAAAAGGACAAGGCAGAAAGTTTAATTAAGCGAAACCTCCTCATCAATCATTTTAATAACAGACTTCATTAAGAAAAGGAATGTGGTGACATGCAACAAAAGCTCAATGCCAAAATAATCACAAAGAAGAATTTCTTAGGTCAATCTAGATGAAATCATTCCCATTTGATGCTTACAAACCATTTGTTCCCACAACTTGAAACAAAGTCAGTTTGACTAAAAGAAATTACCCACTATCGAAGAGGAGCCAACTCGGCAATAAGAACAAAGGACCCCGGCATCATTTAAAATTACTGCCATGCAACTAAGTGCACACGAAGGTCCTAAACACCCAATAAATCATATCTCTACTACTTTTCTAAGACCTACTGTAGAAACTTATTATCAAGCGATGCAATATGAACAACTCAAAAGTAAATGTGAAAAGAGTAAGGCGTTACCGGTCCGCTTTTGCCCCTAGCCCTATTCACTATCAGCTCATAGAAACTGTGTTGCTGAAATTCAACAAGAAAAACAGATTATAAATCATCTTAGCATAAGGAAGAAGCCAAACGTAAATAGAAATGGCCACCCCAGATTGAAAAATAATCTCACATGTGGAATGATGAGATCTTCTTTCACATAAAGCAAATTTTCCACTGAGGTTGTCCGGATTTCTCTAAATTCAGGGGCGAGTTGCTGCTGAACAGCACGAAGAAAATCCCCAATTTTATCACCCTTTCTAACCTGAACATGAGAGAAGTTAAACACTTAGCACATGAAAAACATCGAAGAACAGAAAATACGAAAACCCACAGGCACACAAACACAGATAAAAAAAAAAGATTTAAAGAAGGATCTACTAGCCTGGATCACTCGCCTATGTCCTGTTCCATCCCAGTAGCTGTAAGTAATTTCAAGGGGTTCATCTGTAGACGAGGATGATGTTTACTAATCAGATGCTGTTTCACAAGTGAGAGTTTTAGTTAAAAATAGCAAGAATGAAAAATTACTTCGAATCTGCTCCTGCTCACGGAGCCACTGTTTCCGCAGTCTCTCTCGCTCAGCTTGTTCCTCTGCCTCCCGCTCACTGAAAAGGCATCCTCAGCGTCCCTAAGCTCAAGTGTTAGCCAGCAGACCAACTCCAACAAACACACTATACATATCCAGTGACTCGCATACACAGGCAGAGAGAGAGAGAGAGAGAAAGAAAGAGGTGGCACCTGTCAGGAAGGAAGCCTGTTTCAACTGTGGGGTCTTTGCCAAATTTACCGTGCCCCAACCCCTTTGTTTCTTGTGTTTCTGCAGGAAAGAAGTTCTTCTCATAAGGAGATAAAAATAAAAACATGAAGCTCCTTGGTCTAACTCTTATTACAAAAGAATCCCTTTCTAGGTAAAAATATATTGAAGTGCTACTTTGCTCCTGTGTAATTTACATCAAATTTAGGTGACCCTGTCAACAACTACTCGGTTCTCTCCTCAACATCCAATCATGTTGCAAACACGTGATATCGTGTTCTCAGTCCCTCCACAGTTTCTAGATGGTAGTGACCAACAAATTCCCTGGAGGAGGAATTCCAGAGTTTCAACCAAAATCCATTCCTCCCTTGTGACTTCTCATATGCTGGATACAGTGTTTGCTCTTTGTCATTTAAAAACTGAGATGACCTCGACAACATTGCCGTCAAATTCTTGATGAATGCCCGTGTAAAAGAAAATCTTGCTGCCTTACCAAAAAAAAAAGATAATCTTGCTGCAAAAGTCTTTAGTATCTTAGCCTAGATGAGAGCATCCACTGATCCACAACGTAAATTAGATCGAATCTCAGTTTACATAAACACACACCCCACCACAATTATGATAGTGACAGCAGATCGCCGCACACGTACCTCGCCACGATTAATCACTAGACAATCATGTGACACAGCAAGCAATCCCCTAATCAAAAGATTTGGAAAAGGTTAGAAAAAATTCTTACCGATGTCCCCATCATCCTCATCGCTTCCATTCTCGATATCATCTGTGAAAGACAACCGAGAACTTCCCTTAATCTTCCTCTTTTTACGCTTTTGCAACTGAAGCTCCTCCTCCCTGACGCATACAAACGGAAAACCCAGAGTAACTAACCTTGATCATAACACAACCACGTAAACAAGAAAGAAATGGCGAAAATTGGGCATGCCACGAAATTCAACAGCCCTAGAGTCCCAACATCTGCACTTACTCTTGCTGCAGCTTCTGAAGTTTCTCCTTTTCTTCCTCTTCGAATTTGTTGCGAATATTCACCCTCTGAAGCACACAGTTCAGATATTATCACCCGGCGTGCACGAATCAAACGCTGGCCAGGGCATGGACGAGCTAAGGACATAGCTACTCACCTTCTCAACGTACTGCTCCCTCGTGACCAACCCAATAGTCTCCTTCTTGAACGCGGTCTCGAGAATCTGCAAAA